ATTGAAAAAGAAGAAAAAAAGCTCAAATTTCATAGCATAAACTAAATAGCAGCTATGAGTTCCCTATCTATGAGATGGATGGAAACCCTTTTCTTTTACCAAATCCCATTTACAATTGAGTATGTTCTTATAAAACAACAACATTAAACATTACACTGTAACAAAACATTTAATATATTTAAATACATAGTACAAGTTTACCCGTATCCAACGTTTGAACACACATCCTTGTATCATAAGATTTGCGATTCAAGGTGATCCGACACTTCGACACACACTTGCACCTGATAGCTTACCTCAGTAGGTTGTGACCTTGAAAATTTTTTTTTTTTGATAAGTAACCTTGAAAATTATAAATGAGTTAACAAATGCATGAGTTTGTGTGGGGAGAGAAAGGAGTAAGGAGGGGAGGCGGCAGCTGATCTATGTCAAACCAAAGAACAAAGATTTACAGTGAAAAAGATGACAGGGAGGGACGGAGGCTAACAGTAAGAGTACTACTCTTATGTCAAGCTAATAGTCAAATGATTGTTTTCATCATTCCATTTGTTTGCAACATTTTTGTATCCTAAATGTTTAGTGGACTGACACTGGTTGAATGAATCAAATATTTATAGTCCTTATTAAGAGTGCCAGCTAATGTCAAAACTTTATGTAAATTCATATACCTTAGTTCTAATAATTGTATCAGGATAAACGATTTCTTGAGAAATAACCTTGAACGGAATGAACATAAAGACATACCAGCAGTAACAGAACCACCAGATGAAATTATGAACAATTTGATGATCTTCTGTATCCAGAAATAGGAGCAGACTTATGATGAAATCTGCTGTCACATCATCAACCTGACCATCACCAATAAATTTTTGTAGATGTTAAAACCATTTATTCAAAAAAAAAAAAAATGCATGGTAGAAAATTCAGATAGAAATATTAGAAGTACCTCACTAATTTTTCTAGAGCCCATAAACACAAAATAATGACACCCAGCATAAACAAGTATTGAACAGTCAAATTAAAGTAACAGTAATCAAGTGAATGAATAATAATCAACAAGCTTATTTTAAAATCCAAAAGTTAAGCTAGGAAAACCAGAGAGAGAGAGAGAGAGAGAGAGTATGATCTTTTGTGCAAGAAGAGCTGTAGCCTGTTCACACACAATTATAAAATTATCTAAGAATTTTCTCCTTTTATACGACTCAATACACCTTAAAGATCATGAATATAGTGAAAAATCTGGGACTTCTGAACATATGAAAATGACTAGTAGCTAGTATCACTTCTTTTGATCTATGAAAAGATGACTCCACATTTCTAGAAGTCCGCCTATAATGTTCCCACCAACAATCCACATAAGACAAAAGGTGCTGCTTGCCTAGCCCTTCACACTCTACCACCAGATAAAACAACAACCAATCAAATCCCTAATCAACTGTGGCATAAGCCATAGGAGACCAAACAGGATAGCAGAACTACCACATCATGCAGGAGTAGGCAGTTAATGATCTCCTTAGCACATGCAGCGCCAATTGGGGATAGTCTTCACTACCACCAGGAACCCGGGATTATCACCCCAAGTAAGCAATCTATACAGTGAATAAACTCCAAATCTTCTGTGCCTTTGGCACATCCATCTCAATGGGTCTTACCATCACTGTGAACAGAGGAGCTTTAGAGGGAGGTAAGGTGTCAACAGAATATAGCTCCCAACCCTGAAAAGGCCTGAAGAATCAAGATTCCCATACCACCCCAGCGTCTAAGAACCAAACATAATCCACAACTAGCACAATTTTACCAAAAGAATCTTGAATGTATCTGGGGGGCATCACCTTCAACTTCAGGAGAGCATCCCACACCGGATATTATGCCCAAACCTTACTCAACAACCATCCCCACAGCAAAACCAATGAATTTAGAGAATTTCCTCCAAACCTTTCTTATTTCCTTCCACAGCCCAACTAAAAAGAATTAGTAATCTCAATTGAAGTCTTCCCCTCTGCCCCCAAAATTTCTCCACTACCTTCCTCCACACATTGTCAGATTCTGTCGCATATCTCCACAACCATTTGACAAGAAGAGTTCAATTGAACTCCCTAAACATTTTTTCCCCAAGACCACCAGAGTGTAATCGAGACAGTAAAAGTGCACATGAAATATATTCATAGGCTTAATAAGAGTACCCTTAATAAAACTAGTTTGCCAGTCTTTGGCAATTATTGTGTTTTCCAGTCTTTGGCAATTATTGTGTTTTCCACTTAGTCAATTCCTCTTGTAATGACGAAAGCACAAAAACCCTCCTCCAACTCAGAGGATGAAAGACTGAGAAGGCCTTCGTCTGACTCTACAAACCTCAAACCCTCAAAGGAAGGCCCCATCCACAATCTTGCTAATCCACATAGGCTTCCACAAACATATTTAAGAGAAGAAAAGAAAGTGGATAACCCTGTCTCAACTCCCTCGATCTGGCACATAAATTTTCTAGGCTCCATTAACAAGAATAGGCAAACAGTTGAGACACACCTTCTAATCCAATTTCTTCATTTTTTGCCCGGAAGCCAATGCGATTCAAACATGATGGAAACCCCAATTGACATGATTGTAATCTTTTCCAGTGTACATTTAAAAAAAGAGGCCAACCCACTAATTGAAAATCTAAAATTAACACAGTCTACAAGCATCATACTCAAAATACCCCAAACGAAAGCATTACGAGAGTGAGAAATTAATTTCTTATCAAACTCTTCAAATTATACATTGAATGTAGTTGCAAGAACCTTATATACACTCTAAATTCCAAAGCCCCACCTATCTTCGGAATCAAGGCAATCACATTTTCATTCAAGCTACCCAAGCCCTGCTCTCAACACACTTTGTCACTCCATCCTCACACACTTCCTCTCTTATACGCCCACAACTATGATTTAAACAAGGAAAGAATAGGACTAAGCCTAGGAGTTGTAGGGTGGTCTTGACTGTGGCTGATAGAAGTGATAACAAAAGCCTGAAACACATCATTCTCTTACTTATACACAAATAAAAATAAAAATAAAAAATCCCCTGGCCTGCCCTGGAGATGCATGTTGATGGTAATGAGCTAAAGCAATCCCAAAAACCGATATTAAAGCCATATCATATAGAAAAATCGTATCTTTGAGCTATAAATTTGTATGAATTGACAGTAATTAGCAAAACCCACGAGTGAGAGACAGAATTTAGAGAGAGAGAGTGAATACCTACGAATCCAAGAAGATAATCGGCTGGCGAATGTTGTTCAAAAGAGTAAGTTGTTAGTCTGGTAGAGAAGTCCTCAATGCTTTAACAGACAATGGTCTTCTTCTTATACTGAGACTGAAAGTATCACTGTTGGTTATTGGAATCAGCCAATGGTAGTTGGTCTGAATCTCTTTGAAGATGACCATGAAGCTCAAAGGTCCATACAGCACCTTTCCACATCTCTCTCCTCTCTTCTGAAAATACAAAGGTGTTCCATTGCAACTTTAATAATAAATAATAATTAAATTAAAATAAATAAATAATACTAATAAATACACCCGTCCCAAATTAGGTGTTACTTTATAAATGTGACTCACATTATTTTAAATTAAGTGTCATCTTTGATAAATGTGATTCACACTGAGGCAACACTTAATTTGGACTACTTTGGTGTTTCGTATTGGAATGTTTCCTTGAAGGGAAACTCACGTGCGAGATTGCTACATTAAATCTCATCCTTCTATTTTTTCTCTCTTCACTTCTCCCTTTGACCTTGATTAGCTCTCTCTCTCTCTTCGGCTCCTCTCTCTCTCTCTCTCTCTCTTCACCTCCCTCTAGCTCATCTCATCTCTTCACATATTTAAATCTCTAAATCTCTTATGTCCTTCTCGATTGGTCATCCTTTCTATCTCTTCTTATGTTTAGATCTATAGATATGTCATCCTTTCATCTCTTCGCCTTCTGTAAGGGATATGGGAAGAAAGATGATGTTTTTTTCGGTTGCAAGCACGCCTTGATGCTGATTTGATTCCCATGATCCGAGGTGCTAAAGAATTCCAATTTATGTTTTATGAGAAAAAAATTTGATGGTATATTTGATTTTCGATTTCACTTACAAAGTATTTATCTTTTACTTAAATTCTGAAGTGGGTATGTTCCCGAATTTATTTTTGTTTTTGAATAATGTATAGGTTTTTGAAAGGTACTTGACTTCATTTCCATTTTCTCTCCGAAGTCTCTTACCTTTTTTCCATTCTCTCTCCAAAGTCTACCTTTTTTTATAATGCATAATTTACACAATCTTTTTGGACATATTGTTCAAACTATTAGCAAGGAGTTCTCCAATAAACTTTGTCAAGGAACAAGCCAGAATGCACACAAATTAGAATCCAAGCAAGCAAACAAATTTTAGTAATTCTTCCAAAACCTAGATTTCTCAAATAATATTACCAATCATCTGTTGTTCCAAAAAATGTCATAAAAAAAATTAAAAAAAAAAAAAAAAAAAACAACCAATTAACCTACTTTCATGCTCCTTTGCTAGTTCAATGATATGCAGCTGGTGCCTCCGGGACTTGCACTTGTTGGTTCTCTTGACTTTACAATGGTGCTGCTCCAGCCAGTTCAGATGAAATTGTATCCTACTCTCCATTTGGTGCCAGAAATCCGTCGATGTAATTTTGCAGATCATCGTCCACATCTAGGTTTGGGAAATTATCAAATCCATTCGATGAGGTTGCGCTTGCTCAGCTGCTGGTGCAACATATTGGTTGAGAATTGCCCGATGATAATCTTCTGGGCAAACCAATATGTTGCACCAGCAGCTGAGCAAGCGCAACCTCATCGAATGGATTCGATAATTTCCCAAACCTAGATGTGGACGATGATCTGCACAATTACATTGACGGATTTCTGGCACCAAATGGAGAGCGGAATACATCTGAACTGGCTGGCAGCAGCACCATTGTAAAGTCAAGAGAACCAACAAGTGCAAGTCCCGGAGGCACCAGCTGCAGATCATTGAACTAGCAAAGGAGCATGAAAGTAGAAAATCATCATCAGTGGCGGGGATGCAGATCAGGTTCAGGTTATTGTTGCTCATCAGCAGTCCCAACTCATCAGCGAAATGCCCCATATCAGCATTAGCAGCAGCTGAACGTGTCCCAAACTCATCAATGAAAGGTCCCCTAGTAATTCTGCTCATCGTGCTCATCCTGACAGTTCACCTGGCTGAAGCTGCTGTGGTGGAAATTGGCCCATCCAGACACTGCTCTGGCACTTTGATATAGTCATGTTGCCTCAATATCTGTTGTTACTGACTGGTTAGTTGGCCTTGCAGACTGTTAATTTGTTGTTGTAGACTGATAATCTGGTTTTGCTGGGCAAAAAGAACACCAGCACACTCTTGGACTGGGTTTTCGATCATGACACAGGCTCGAATTCCTCTGAGTGAGGGATGGACGTCAAGAAGCTTGTCCCTCAAATAGGAACTGGTGAAAACTCGAAGAATAGTTTGAAGTTTCTGGGATTAATCCGGGGGAAGTAATATGACAAAATGCAATCAGATGCACACCTTGGTCTTTTGTAGATACTGAACAAGGCATTTTTTTGTTTTAGACCTGTAATCAATAAAACTTAAAGTCATTTTAGAGCTGTAATCAATAAAACATGAGTCAATATATTCATACATGTATTTAGCACTCATAATGTTACAGAGATCTTAAAAGAGAAAAGGATGAGGAGGGTGTTCATCCAACAGATGCACTTTGTAAAACCCATCAAAGACACATGATCGGCAAAGTCAAAGATGAAGTACAAATAGAATCATTGTCAAAACAGATTAAAAGAATCATATTAGGAGGTGGGACAATAAAGAATACTATCTAAATCTTCCCCGTTGACAAAATTAATCAAGAATTATATACGAGGTCTCAAACAAAAATGAATCATATTGTTTTAATCTAGAATCAGAGGTTCATATACGGATTTATATAGATCAAGAAAAAGAAATACATACAACATACAATTAGGAATCATACACGAGGTCTTAATTTTACCCCAATCGGCAAACAAAAATGAATCTCTTAATTTTACCCCAATTGGCAAACAAAAATTAATCATATTAAGTCTCGAAATTTGATCTTCAAATTTAATCTAGAATCATAGATTCATATACACATTTTTATAGATCAAGAAAAAGAAATGCATACAATTAGGAATCATATACGGTAAGCTTTACTTCAGTAAATAGACTTGGTCTTCCAATAAAAGCCCTGCTCTTGGTGGTATGGAGACTGGAGAGAGAGGATTGCTCTGTTCTTGGTGGTATGGAGACGAGACAGAGACGAATGGGGCAGAGAGAGGGAAAGTACGTTCTTTTGAATTGAAGCGCCTCTAAGTGTTCCTTAGAAATGAACTAATTTCTAACAATCAATTTTTTTCATTTTGATATGCAAACATGATCTTATTAAACATTAAATGGGTTACAAGGTAACTTTTCACAAGTTTAATTTAAAATTAACTTGAGTATAAAAAAATAAAGATACAATAAGAAATAAATTGAGATAATAGAAAAGAAAATTCTTTAAAATAGAATAATTTGGACAATACAATTAAATAATAGAAATATCCATATTGAATTTATATTGAAATAATAGAAATATCTATATTAATTGGGTATAAAACGGGTTCTAGGTTAATCGGGTTAACCTAATACGATTAATTAAACGAGTCTAATCGGGTTAAACGGACTGAACTTCAAAATACGAACCCGACACAATTAATTAAACTGGTTAATACAATTATAACACGACTATGATTAAGGTTAATCTAAATTGGCTAACTTAATGTCGTGTTCGTGTTGACGGATTGTGCAAAATTTTGTCACCCCTAAAACTGTTTATACAATAATTTAATTTAGTACTTACCAAAAAAGTGACAAAAATAAATAACTCATCAAACCGCCCACAATGTAGTGAGTTTTGGGGGGAGTTATTTTAAATCTTTAATATCAATTATATCATGTTTCACACATTAGAAGAAAAAAATATATATATATGTAGAAAATTAAAATGCTTACATTGGTCGATTTGAACTCAACTCGAATGGAACTTTGAGCAATTTGTTTTTACTATTCCATTGGACTTCAAAAATATTCAACCCACATTAAATTCATTTGGGTTGCTAAGGTATCAAAAAATTTTTTTTTTTTTTGGATAGATAATTGCTAAGATATCATTATTAATGAATCATTAATAATGATATTATTGTTACACAAACAAGGACTTTCATTATTACCATATAAAGGTAATAATGAGGAGGGAAGGAGGAAGATGTGAATGGGTTGAAGAGATTTCAGTTAGAAAGAGAGAGCTCACTGAACAGGGAGGAGAGAGAAGAATCAGCTTGACAGCTAACGCTGGTGTTAATGACGGCAGATCTCTGACAGTTGGATGATGCACTGACAAATGCGGACAGAGAGTTTCAATCTCTCCTCTCTGAGAGTAAAATAAGCTGTCCTTATCAGGACAAAGTAATTAAGTCTTTAATTCCTTTGAAAAAAATTATTTATTTTTTTTTTTTACATCATTTGAACAACAAAATGACATTGGAGGGCGTCACGCATGAGAGGTCTCAGCTTCTCGATCCGGTGAGGATGGTGGTGAGATTCAACTAACAATTTCTTATTTTCTTACAAGAACTTGTATTTAAATATATATATATATATATATATTATTTAACATTTATCTTAATGACGGTCACATAATTGATAACAAAAACCTAGCAGAGTTTCTATCACTTTTTATGCTTTAAAATGATATTACACAATCAAAGTTGGGAAAAAAAAAAAAAAAGAAAAAAAAAAAACCACAAGTTCATGTGACTTATTCTAAATAAAAAATATGGTACAAACAAATTTTCGGGAAGAAAAAAAGTATCACCTTTTGATTTTTGAGCTTAGGAGTTTGGGGGCTAAAAATCTCTATCTATATTTTTGTGAATCACACACTGACACAGATTAATAATGTGTACCTGACGATATGGCATTTCATCAAACAATATATACAACCATATCCAAGGGCGGATCCAGGATTTCTCAATGGGGTGGGCTAAATCAAAATATATCTAAGTATAAAGTTACAAACATATACATATATATGTATATATGTAAGATATACGTAGTATCATATTAGACTGGTAAAGTTATAAATATATAATATTAATTATTGTCTCTGTATGTAACTTTAAGTGCATCAGAGCTTTCCATTTCATTGTTGTACACTTCCTAGATCTGATGCATGAAACAAGCCAAAAGCTCACAACCCTATCGTTGGTTTAGGGTTGTCTTACACGTTTGTGCCCCCAACCATATATCTTTCTTTCTACAAGTACATATCTATAGAAGTCTCCCATACCAATATTAGTCAAGACGCTCAAAGAGCTTATTTTGTCCTAAGTTGGGTAGTTCTTATTGGTGGACTCTCTCTTCTTTGTTGTTTCAGTTTCAACATTTCAGAAGCTCTGTCAATGCTCAAACTGATAAAGTAAAATTAAAATTGTAGAGTCTTCTTTTTCTTTTTCACAAATAAAATTAGGCTTTAGAGAGATGAAAAAGAAGAGAGCCCAAGTAGATGAATCATTTTACACACCATTGTTTCAGAATTTCAGGAACTGTAACTAAAAGAATTAGACGCTATGCTCAATAGTATGTCTTCAACTCTAAATTTCCTTCAATTCTAAGTGCATTGACTTAATTTGAGTGCATCAACATATTATCAACATCATCAATCGTCATCATGAGATTCAACGTTGACATCAACATCCTCATCTAGAATCCTCATCTAAAATCACACAATCCTCTTGCATATATATATATATATATATATATATATACACACACACATTTGATTAAGATAAATTGAAAAGAGACTTCCTATCATAATTGGTCATTTTAAAACCAGCATCACTGCTACAACGGTAAGGGGATTTATATAATTCAATTAGCTAGGCAAAAAAAAACACACCTATTTTCTTTTTCCTTACTCCACCCACTCCAATCAACTCTCTTCTTTCAGAAAAGAGACCTACATTATTAGGACAAAAGAGGAAAAGTTTTAAAAGCGTTAATAAACTTGTAAAACATATATTCTAAAATTGAAAACTAAACTTCCAAGTCTTTAATTCCCATTAATAAATTGTTCAAGCATCACATCATAACAATGTTACATATATGTATGTAGAAACAAAAACAAAAACAAAAAATTAAGCGTAACCAATAGCTAAAAATGCCAATTAAAATTTTAGAAAAAGTAAGAGTTTGTTACCTGATGACTGAGGAGGCATGTTTCTTGAACCTTGTTCTTGCTAAATGTTAAGGCCTGATGCTAACCCTAAAAATAAGAAAACACTCAAGTTGTGAGGAAGATGTTTCACAATCTCACTCATAACAATTAAAACACCACCATCAAAGTACTATTTGTATCATGTATCAACCCAACCCAACTATGATTTCAGTCAAAATGTTGGACACCTAACCATAGAAAGAGGTGTGATTACGGATAAGTGTAATTAGCACATATTATACTCAGCTCTTATATTAAATTAATCCAATAACAAAGTACAATGCATCAGTTTAGGAATAATCTTCAAAATTAACAAATCAATATCCTGATATTCTGCATTCTAATAACAAAAGAAAACCAAAAACCAAAATTTCAAAATAAAAATATAGCAGAAATATTGAATATATCCTTCGTGCATTACACACATTGTATTTCTATGTGAAACAAAACATCCAGGATTTCTCATTGGGGTGGGCTAAATCAAAATATATCAACCAAAATCAACTGTTGTTTAATTCAATTTTAGTTAAGTAACAATGTTTCTTTAGACAATTGACTGATTAAGGCATAGAAAATTCTATTTGGGTAATTAATAAAAAAAATTACCAATTTATTTCTGAACAATTCAGAACTCAGTACCCTATCTCTTCTTTTGACCAATTTACTAATCCTATTCGAGAACCTACTAGTGGAAGCAGAGTGTGAGGTAGTTCATGGCAAGCCCCTTCCAACACTATGGAATTCACTCAAAAGCATGCTTTTTGTAAGTATTTTAATTTTCAAGAAGTAACTTTAGAGCTCTACCCTATATTAACTACTTTTGCTTGTCAAAGTGATTTTTTTTAGTTCTGAAAAGATTTCCATCTTCAAAAAGCTTGGCATGTTGATAAAAATTGTTTGAGATTCAATCTCTGCAGATTTCTAATCCAATTCAGATTTTTTTTTTTCTTTTTTCATGCCCAGATTCAAATTTTCTTGTAGACATAATTGACAACAACAACAACAACAACAAAAAGAAGTTATAGAAATAAAAATAAAAACATTTGTTTTGCTGAAATAAAATGTAGATTACGGTGATTCCTCAAAAATCAATGCAATGATTACCTCAAAATGCAATATAAATTTTGTTACTTTATATTGTATAAAATATAAATATATTTAAAAAAGATCATAAAAATTTTCACAAAATAGGATTTAGTTTGCAAAACACAAGAATTACAGACCTTGATTAGTTGATTTAGGAAAGAAAAAAAAAATAAAACAAAACCCATACATACAAGTTAGCAGTTGCAGAGAGAGAGGGGGGGGCAAGCTTGAGAGTTGAGAGACAGCGGCTGAAGCTTGCGAACGGCGAACCCGAACCGGAACAGCGGGCGATGGAAACTGAAAGATATGGGTTTTGATTTTTTGAACAATCTGAAATGATATGCCGATATGGGTTTTGAGCTTTTGATTCTTGCAGACAGATAGATTAACTGGGTTTTGAACTTCTGATACTTGTAGTTGCACAGAGAGAGAGTGGGGGTAAGTTCAGAGTCGAGAACTAGAATAGAGATGGAGGCGACTGGGGAGGCAGAAATGATTTGCCCTAAACATGTTTTGTTATTTATAGGTGCTAGGCGACGCCTTTGTGGCCTTGGACAGGCCTTTATTTCAATACGGTGGATTTGGGTTTGATTGGGTGGGTCTATTAATAAATAAAAAAAATTGATTGGGTTAAAATTAGTCTAGTAAAAAAAAGAAAAAAAAAATTTAGTGAACTCAAGCCCACAGAACCCACTTCTATATTGGTCTTTAACCATATCAATTAAATATATTTATAATCAACAATATACAAAGAGAAAAAAAAAAAAATGAATAATACATTATTGAATGCCCATGAGGCCATGATCTAATCTAAATCAAAATTAAGTTGACAATGACAAATCCTTAAACATTGACAAAACTCAAATAGTTTGAGCTTGAGCTATAGATTAAGTTATACATTAATTGCAATTATTTCCGTAGTAGGTTACAATGATTAAAAAAAAAAAAATTGATCAGCTGCATTAAAAATGAACTACGTAATGTCCAAACAATTTAATTTCTACTGAATATTTTCAATGCAAAATTAGAAAAATTTAATTTATTTATTTTCTAAGTTCAGTAAGTTTTCAAGTGACCTACATTATTGTGATCTTGCAGGTACATTGTCCAAACTTCAACTATTTTATAAAATGTAAATTATACCCAATTATTTGAACTCAACACAAATCCAATTTAATCTTTTGACAAATTTGACCTTTGTTTTTTCTTTTTTCCCTTCCGGAATTTGACTTCATTTGGATTAGGAGTTAATAGAAATGTGTGACCTGTATAATTATTAAACTATATTTGAAAGCATCAAATCGAGAAAAAAAAAAAATGTATTTATATTTCAAAACACTAAAATCTTTGTGCTCAAAAGCAACACTTTTATACTACTAAGTAAAATAGGAGTATATAAAACACAAAGGAGTCAACTTTGAAGGGACATTTAGACCATTGGACGGACCAACCCGGTTGAACCGGTAAGCATTGAAGGTCCGATATATTAATTCACCTGCAGTGGACCCCACGGTTCATATGAGTATCACCGTCACTCTTCCACATAATTAGGGAAAAAATAATAATAATGATAATAATGATAATGATAATAAATAAATAAATGTAACAGTGTAATAATACAATAAGAAGGAATTTTTTTTTTTTTTTGTCATAATACAGTGGTAGACAATTTAGTGAGAAAAGAAAAAGAAGTAAAAAATAAATTAAATTAAAAACATCAATTTGCATGACAAAAGATATTAAAGACAATTTAAGTTTAGAAATTGATTGTGTGGACCCCAATCGGGCCCTCCAAGAGGGTTGAGAGGTTCTTTTCACTCCCGGCCTTTTCAGTGCCATATTGTTTGTTAATGTAATCAGCTAGCCCTCCAAGTGTGTACTGAGTAACATTTTCACCCTCTCTCTCTCTCTCTCTCTCTCTCTCTCACACACACACTTTCTCTCTCTCCAAGTTAGGGATGACAACGGGAGCGGATTTAGAAAGGTGTACCCTCTCTTGTCTTCATTCTCGCCCAAAATCACAAAAACGGAAGAACTTTTCACCCTATTCCCGTAACCGTTTAACATTTTTATCTCGCGGATATCTGTCCCACCCCGTTTAAGACTATAATTTATTTAATTTTTTACCATTGCAATTTTTCTTTTAATCAAATTCATTTGTTACTTTAATATTGCTATATAGGGTACTTAATATATAGTACTAAATATATATACTAATGTAATAAAGGTACTTAAGTAATTTGCCTATCTAAACGAGGCGGGGCGGTGTTGACCTCCCCCCGCCCCCGCACCAAACCGCGTGGGTTTTTAGTACATCAAACTGTCCCCGCCCAAATAACCAAAACGATCCCCCAAAACCGTCAAAAACAGAACGGGTAACTGCGGGAGCGAGTCAAATTGCCATTCCTACTCCAAGTGTGTATTACTACTGTAGGACATTAAACGGCCCAACCCGATTGAACCGGTAAGGATTAAATTACCTATAGTGGTCCCCACAATTCACAAAAGTATGATCGTTTTATCCTATACCTTGTTCCAAAATTCGGGATTAAAGCTTAAACAGTCCGTGTTGTTTCCTTCTTCCAATTTCAGGTCCTGTTTGTCAGAAATTATCTTCTAATAGTCGTCTAATCTTCTTAATTCGGTCACTGTCAATAATAATTTGACTATTCAACACTTTGAGTCAAAAAAACTTAGCACGCTCCTAAAAAACAGCTAAACACATCACCACCGTTGCAATTAGCTCTCTCCTCTCTTGTCACGTCCGGGTTCTCTTTCAATCTCTTTAAAAGAAATGATGCACCCCATGCCCCTTCCTTGGAGGGTATAGGAAAAATGTGGATTGTATGCGACATAATTCGTCACTGATTAATGGATATGACTCATTTAAAATTTCTATGGAGTCACAACTTAACACGGGATTTGTTTTGTGCCCCTAAATTTGTGAGGGGCCGTAAATGTGTTTGACTGTCATCTATTATGTGAATAAAATTAACAGATTTGAGATTTTATTATATGTGGGGAAGGTATTAACCACCCTACAACCTCCGTGGTATACGTTTACTTTACTTACATAAGATTTTATTATAACGTAGAAAGCTGGGGAAAAAAAAATTATAATGTTGCAGCAAGAGATATTTGATGAACTAGAGATAAGATCTATACCCATAAAGGCTTGTGATTGTGAAAAAAAAAAAAATTCAAAAAAAAAATTGAAAAAAATAAAAACCTACCTAAAATGAAACAAGTGGAACGTGGTTTGGAATAAATTACCTAAAATGAAGCAAGTGAAACGTAGTTCGGAATAAACTACCTAAAATGAAGTTTGTGAATGGTGTGACCAATTTTAGTGTCACCTAGATTGCTTACGTATCTTTAGGTACGCGGACATAGTTCAGGATGAACTAAGATTCAATATTTAACGTAAAAATATGGAAGTTTCTTGAGAGATTTGAACTTAGTGTGCATGTGTTTTTCTTGAGATATTTGAACTTAATTGGGTGTTCATGTGTCTTGAAGAGACGGTATGTGCGTCTTGAAAATGAGCTAGGTTTGTGAACCGATATTGAAATTCTTGAAAAGACAGTATGCGTGCTTAGAAAATTAGAAAATCATGTTTTAAGAAAGTACCACGTGTGTGTGTTTTTTTTTTTTTTTTGATCTATGGGTTGGTCGTGGTGGTATTCTATACATGTCTTGTGTGTTTCCAAAATTTGGGCTCGATCAATTTATATGTATGAGGCATTGAGGGGGTTGGACACCTCCTCCTTTTATTTTGGTTTGTTGATTTATGTTTTAGTTCTGTGAATGCCCTTATATTTGTAAAGTCTGATTTTTTTTTTTTTTTTAATTCACTTATTTACCGAAAAAATATATATATATTGTATTCAGAGGCTAAGCCTAAGCAATAATGTTTAGGCCTATGGGTGGGTCGTGGTGGTATTTTTTATTTTTTTATTTTTATATATATATTCACTTATTTACTGAAAAAAATATATATATTATATTATATTTTATTTATTTACAATGTTTACTCCGATAATAGACAAAATTAATTGGTTTTAGCTTATTTATTTACTATTAAGATATATTATATGGTGCATTCTCCACCCTTAACTATTTATCAGAGTGTAAATTATATATTGAATTTGAACTCAACTCGAATCCAACTCAAATTTGAGCAAATTTTTTTTTTATTATTTGGTATGACTTAAAAAATTTCAACCCTCATGACGTTCATTTTAGTTGCTAAGGTATCATAATGCATATATCAAAATTACATATTCAATAGATAGCTTCCAACAAGAACTTTTGTTACTATAACATAAAAATAAAATGTCTCACTAAGTTACTAACCCTGCCATGCAATGCTAGGTAAATAGCCTTCTAACGTGAAATTGATCCATAGTGTTTCAGACACCACTATATTTTTATTAATGTTTTTACATAGGATGGATTTAAGTTACACAATCATTCTTAGCATATTCGCTCTCACACTTCGAGCGTGTTCCCGCTCTCAAACTCTACGCGTGCTCTCGCTCAAATTCTCATGACTTATGACTTAATTTTGCCGTTTTCACGCTCCCGCTCTAGAATTCGCTCACTCTCATCCCTACTTTATATGACTTAGGAATGGATTTGCAATTCCTCTCCATGGAAGAACTACAAATGTCATTAACTCTCAGTAATATATTTGGAGAAACTTAAACTTTCTACTTTTTATTTTTAAAGCAGAATAAAAACCGACGTAATCATAAATATATTACTTAAACTATCAATTACTTAAAAACTTTACCCACCCATTCATTTCGAGTAAGAAGATATTTCTAATAAATCATTTATTATAAATAGAATGAACGATTTTCTAGTTGATTCTGTGTAACGTCTTGATTCATAGCATTACCTTCATTTCTAATCACGAATCTTAAAATAAAAACTCATAAAATTATGCAATGTAAGTGGAATGGGCTGGTAAAATAATTTTGGACCTCTTTATTTAGTTATTAAATAAATGGACCTAAGTACCTCATGACTATGTTTTAATATATAGCTCGAGCTTTAGGTTAGGTCTACATTAATGGCAATTATTTTAGTAGTAGGTTACAATGATCAGCTACTTTAAAAATGAACCATGTGATGTCCAAATTATTATATTTCTACCGAATATTTTCAATGCATATCTGGCAAAACGTACAAAAACAATACACAAGAATATTGATAATATTTAAGAATATATTTAGAAAATATAATAGTTTACTAGGTTCACAAAGTTTCCAATGGGCGAAATTTTATACCGTGCCACCATCCACCTTTTTAATTATTTATTATGATGTAAATAAAATTGATAAATTTCAACTCATTTCGAATCTAATTCAATCTTTAGATGAAGTTGAGCTTAACGCTTCTTAAATTTATTCGGATTAAAATTGAATCGAAGTGTGCATGTAGCTGTAGCTATACAAGGAGTGCGAATATCAACCTCTAAAAGAAAAGATTATAAATAGTAGAATGGAGAGAGAGATTGTAATATAATTAGTAACCATTACATTGGGGTGAAAAAAACAGACATGCTAATGGTATCTTATGCGATAATAGAATAACACGTGCGTAGGATAAAAAAAGAAAATTCTATATGACTATTGTTAGACTAAGCTCTATAAATTTGTAAATCATAGTGTTGAGATTTAAAAAAGAGAGGAGAACAACTACTTCAACTAGCGAAAATGAGAATGTTGAGATAAATGGTTGGAGTGACTAGAAGAGACAAGGACACAAATGAAAGTGTAAGACAAAAATGAAGTGTAGGCTTTGTAGCACCCATCAAAGAGTTTGGGTACATATGCACGGGTGAAAAGAGAAGTTCAATTTTTCTAGAAGGCGAGAGACGGAGAAGGCTATCAAAAGTAACATAGTAAGAAATATGGAGTAATATAGAAAAAGAATTGAGACAAAAAATTCATGTGGTCAACTCCGTATTGATATGAAAACAAAGCAAAGATGACGAGGACGATGAGAGATAATAAATACACTATTTTCTTGTCTTTCTTTTCTAGCATAAACGACAAACATACCTAAATAGTTAGTTTTTCTGTTTATGAATTAAACACCTGTGTCATTTTATTTTTAGAGTGGAGTGAAATGGTTAAGAGGGGAGTGTGTGAATATCGACCTCCAAAGCTAACCCGAACAAGTTGACCAATGGTCCTAATTAGGGGTTGGGCTTGGAACAGGGTTGTTGGTTTTACAAATTATTGGCCATCAGCTAGCCCAGTATACGTGGGAACCATTTTTACTCTGCAAACGAGTCAACTTTGAATGGACATTTAGACCATTGAACGGCCCAACCCGGTTGAACCGGTAAGCATTGACGGGCTGATGTATCAATTGACTTGAAGTGGTCCCCACAGTTCACAAAAGTATGTTCAATGGACCCACCACACAACACACCACGACAAAAATCAGTTGAAACCACAACAGAGACAAGTAAATACTAGTACAATATTAAGAGTACAAGAGAAAAAGAAAAGAGAAAAAAAAAAAAAAAAAAAAAAAATTGAAAAATGAAATTAAAACAACAACAACGCGTTTTCTCAAAGAACAACAGTTGTATCTCTCTCTCTCCTCCTCTTTCTCTCTCGACCTTTGTTCAGCAGAACCCAGATTAGGGTTAGGGTTTTTTGCACACAAAAAAACCCACTCCTGCAACTGACTTGGGAGAGACAAAAGTGGGGGCTTTTGTTGAATATTTTGTTCATTTCTAGGGTTTCAGTAATGGGTCGTTGTTCTTCTGTGATCAAATGGTACCATCTCCACAAACCCTTGCAAGTGTTCCTTCTCGTTTGGGTCTTCTCCTTAGCTCACGCCGACGTTGTTCTCGGTGCCGATTCGGACAAATCGGCGCTCTTGCAGCTGAAGAGCTCAGTCTCTGACCCTTCCGGAGTGCTCGCGAGCTGGAATTCGAGCAATTCTGATCAATGTTCGTGGTTCGGCGTCACCTGCGATTCAAATTCTAGGGTTTTGGCCCTCAACATCACCGGTGGAGGCGGCGGCGGAGGTAATTCGGGTTCTTTCTCTTGCGCTAAATATGCTCAATTTCCATTGTTTGGGTCTGAGATTAGGAGAACTTGTGTGAGTAGTAATGTCAAATTAGTGGGTGTTCTTCCCCCTGAAATTGCAAAGCTTACAGAACTAAAGGTTCTATCTTTACCTTTCAATGATTTGAGTGGTGAAATACCTATTGAGATATGGGGTATGGAAAAGTTGGAAGTTCTCGATCTGGAAGGGAATTCCGTTACTGGGTCTCTCCCGTCTCATTTCGGGGGTTTACGGAATTTGAGGGTTCTTAATTTGGGTTTTAATGAGATTTCTAGGGAGATACCACATTCTCTGTCGGATTGTATGAGTTTACAAGTCTTAAATTTAGCTGGGAATCAACTTAATGGCTCGATTCCAGGGTTTCTTGGTGGGTTTAGAGATTTGAGGGGGCTTTACTTGTCATTTAATCGACTTAATGGGTCAGTTTCGAATGAGATTGGGGACAATTGTGGGAAGCTTGAGCATCCACAGCTTTCAGGGAATTTCTTGGTTGGTGGGATTCCGAGTAGTTTTGGTAACTGTTGTGGGTTGCGGTCGCTGTTGTTGTATTCAAATATGGTCATTCCTGTTGAACTTGGTCAGCTGAAGAAGCTTGAAGTGTTGGATATTTCAAGGAACAGCCTTAGTGGTTCAATACCTCCTGAGCTTGGAAATTGCTCTAAATTATCTGTCATTGTCCTCTTAAATTTACTCGATTCTCTTCCCAAGGTTACTAATTCAGAGGGGAATTCCTCATTGGGGCAATCCAGTTCTACTAATGATGAATTTAATTACTTTGAAGGTGCAATCCCTGAGGAAATTATGAAGCTTCCGGAGCTCAGAGTAATTTGGGCGCCGAGGGCAACTCTGGAGGGAAAATTGCCCAGCATATGGGGTGTTTGTGACAACTTACAGATGGTAAACTTTGCAGATCATCGGGCAATGGATCAAGGAATTCCGTCAATGTAATTTTGCAGATCATCGGCCACATCTAGGTTTGGGAAATTATCCATTAGATGAGTCTGCTCTGGGTCAGTTGCTGGTGCAACATATTGGTCGAGTAAACGACTCAGAAGATTATCATCGGCCAATGGGTCAATGAAAAGTGGCAAATCATCATCAGTGGCAGATGCAGGTCAGGTTCAGGTTGTTATTGCTCATAAACAGTCACAAACTCATCACAGGTCAGGTTCAGGTTGCTGCTCATTAGCAACCACAAATTCATCATTTGAAAGCCCCATATGAGCATTAGCAGCAGCTGAAGGTGTCTCAAACTCATCAATGAAAGGTCCCCTAGCAGCATTGTAATTCTGCTCGTCAGTGTTAGAGCCTTATAGTTCACCTGGCTGAAGCTGTTGTGGTGAACTATCAGGCTCTAACACTGAAGCTCTAACACTGATAGTTCACCACAACAGCTTCAGCCAGGTGAACTATAAGGCTCTAAGACTGACGAGCAGAATTACAATGCTGCTAGGGGACCTTTCATCGATGAGTTTGGGACACCTTCAGCTGCTAATGCTGATCTGGGGCTTTCCAATGATAAGTTTGTGGTGGCTAATGAGCAGCAACCTGACCCAATTCATTCCGCTGATGAGTTTGTGACTGTTTATGAGCAATAACAACCTGAACCTGACCTGCATCCCGCCACTGATGATGATTTTCCACTTTTCCTTGACCCATTGCCTGATGATAATCTTCTGGGACGTTTACTCGACCAATATTTTGCACCAGCTGCTTAGCAAGAGCAACCTCATCTAATGGATAATTTCACAAACCTAAATGTGGCCGATGATCTGCAAAATTACAGCTGGAGAGAGCTCACTGAACAGAGGGGAGAGAAGAATCAGCTTGACCGTGTTAATGATGTGGCAGATCTCTAACCGTTGGATGATGTACTGGCAAGCTGTCCTTAATTATTTTAATTAGACCCATTTAGATTTTGACAACTAAGATACACTTATAATGAAACCAGTTCTCATATTTCATTAAGTACTGAACAGTCTGAACATGCATCCACTCCAACGCCTCTATTATCATGCGAAAGAGTTTATATATATACATATATGTATGGATATATATAAACAGCACAATTACACAGTAAAACATAGAAAGGAAGTGGAATTATTTCCATAGCTAATTATTGTAGGCAGCAGCAGTATTTTAGAATTATTGAAGGTTTCTTTTTTCTTTTTCTTTTTTCAGAGATACGAGACTTATCAGGACAAAGTAATTGAGTCTTTAATTCCTTTGAAAAAAATTATTTATTTATTTATTTTTACATCATTTGAACAACAAAATAACATTGGAGGACGTCACGCGTGAGAGATCTCAGCTTCTCGATCCGGTGACGATGGTGGCGAGATTCAACTAACAATTTCTTATTTTCTTACAAGAACTCGTATTTAAAAAAAAAAAAAAGGACAAAAACTTATTTAACATGTATCTTAATGACGGTCACATAATTGATAACAAAAACCTAGCAGAGTTTCTATCACTTTTTATGCTTTAAAATGATATTACACAGTATCAAAGTTGAAAAAAAAAAAAAAAAACAGAAGTTCATGTGACTTGTTCTAAATAAAAAATATATATATGGTATAAACTAATTTTCGGGAAGAAAAAAAGTATCAGCTTTTGATTTTTGAACTTACGAGTTTGGGGTCTAAAAATCTCTATCTATATTTTTGTGAATCACAGACTGACACAGATTAATAATGTGTAAATTCTCTGAGGATATGGCATTTCATCAAACAATATATACAACCATGTCAGTTATCGATTAAATATATTTATAATCAACAATATACAAAGAGAAAAGAAATGAATAATACATTATTGAATGCCCATGAGGCCATGATCTAATCTAAATCAAAATTAAGTTGACAATGGCAATATCCTGAACATCAACAAAACTCAAATAGTTTGAGCTTGAGCTTTAGATTAGGTCTACATTAATTGCAATTATTTCAGTAGTAGGTTACAATGATTAAAAAAATAATAATAATAAACAATGATCAGATGCATTAAAAAAGAACTACATAATGTCCAAACGATTTAATTTCTATATATTTTCAATGCAAAATTAATATATTTTAATTTATTTATTTTCTAGGATCACTAAGTTTTCAACTGACCTACATTATTGTAATCTTATAACGTATGTTGTTCAAACTTTAACTATTTTTTAAAAAGTAAATTATATTTGAGTACATTATTGTAATCTTATAGCGTACATTGTTCAAATTATATTCGAATACATTATTGTAATCTTATAACGTACATTGTTCAAACTTTAATTATTTTTTAAAATATAAATTATATCCGATAATTTAAACTCAACCCGAATCCAACTCAATCTTTTGACAAATTTGAGCTCTCTCTTTTTCTCTTTTTCTTCGTTTTTTTCCGGGGAATTTGACTTCATTTGGATTAGGAGTCGATAGAAATGTGTGACCTGTATTAAACTATATTTGAAAGCATCAAATCTCGAAATAAAAAAAAAAAAATTTAATTTCAAAACACTAAAATCTATGTTCTCAAAAGCAACACTTTTATGGTACTAGTAAAATAGGAGTATGTATCACAAATTACTGAAAGTAGTCAACTTTGAAGGGACATTAGTCCATTGAACAGACCAACCCGGTGGAACCGGTAAGCATTGACGGTCCAATGTATTAATTCACCTGCAGTGGACCCCACAGTTCAGATAAGTATCACTATCACTCTTCCACATAATTGGAAAAAAAATAATAATAATAATAATAATAAATAAATAAATGTAATAGTGCAATAATACAATAAGAAGGAAAAAAAAAAATTTGTTATAATACAATGGTAGACAATTTAGTGAGAAAAGAAAAAGAAGTAAAAAAAGTAAAAAATAAATAAAATTGAAAACAACAATTTGCATGACAAAATATATTAAAGACAATTTAAGTTTAGAAATTGATTGTGTGGACCCCCAAACAGGCCCTCCAAGAGGGTTGAGAGGTTCTTTTTATTCCCGGCCTTTGGCCCTTTTCAGTGCCATGTTGTTTGTTTATGTAATCAGCAAGCCTTCCAAGTGTGTACTGGGTAACATTTTCACACAGACTCTCTCTCCCACCAAGTGTGTACTACTATTGTATGTTCGCTTAATCCTATACTTTGTTCCAAAATTCAGGATTGACGCTTAAACAATTCGTGTAATTTCCAGGTCCTGTTGGTCAAAATCATTTTCGGTGAGACTTATCTTCTAACAATCGCCTGATGTCATAAGGCGGATTTCTTAATTCGATCGCTGTCAATAATGGGGAGACCGAACCAAAGTTGCTTTACGACGAGAAGCAAGTGAAATGTAGTTTGGAATAAACTACCTAAAATGAAGTTTGTGGATGGTGTGACCAACTTTAGTGTTGCCTAGATTGTCTATGTATTTTAGGTACACGGACGTAATTCAGAATGAATTGAGATTTAATATTTAACGCAAAAATATGTAAGTTTTTTTTTGAGAGATTTGAACTTAATGTTCATGTGTCTTTCTTGGAGATTTGAACTTAATTGAGTGTTCATGTGTCTTGAAGATGAGCTAGGTTTGTGAGTCGATATTGAAATTCTTGAAAAGATAGCACGGGTACTTAGAAAATTAGAAAATCATGTTTTAAGAAATTATCGAATGTGTTTTAAAAATGGAATAAGGTTTTGATAGGTCTGTATATTGTCATTCGTTGAACTATTATGGGCCTTATGGCCTCGACACATGGCACCATGTTATATAAATCCAAGGCCAATTATGCACCATGTCATTTAATCATAAAAAAAAAGTGTAAATGTCATATATTGAAAACATGACGTACAATTCCCAATATATGACAGTTATTATGAGCCATTGAGTACATAAATTCATTTGATGTTCCCGCCTATGCCTAACCAACTACCACCGAGTTTTGGACTTTGTTTGAGACTTGTTGATGTTCCCGCCAATGCCTATGGGTTGGTCGTGGTGGTATTCTCTTGGGCCACAATTTGGGCTCGATCAATTAATATGTATGTATGGGCCGCAATATGTATGAGGGGGTTGGACACCTTCTCCTTTTATTTTGGTTTGTTGATTTGTGTTTTGGTTCTGTGAATGCCATTGATATTTGTATAGTCTGATTTTTTTTTTCAATTCACTTATTTACCGAAAAAAAAAAAATATATATATATATATATATATATATATTGTATCCAGAGACTAAGCCTAAACAATAATGTTTAGGCCTATGGGTGGGTCGTGGTGGTATTTATTTTTTTTTTTTATATTCACTTATTTACCGAAAACAATATATATTGTATTTTATTTATTTACAATGTTTACTCCGATAATAGACAAAACTGATCAGTTTTAGTTTATTTATTTACTATTAAGATACGTTATATGGTGCATTGTCCACCCTCAACTATTTATCAGTGTAAATTATATATTGGATTTGAATCCAACTCAAATTTGGGAGAATTTGAGCAACTTTTTTTATTATTTGGTTTGACTTAAAAAAATTCAGCCCTCTTTACATTCATTTTAGTTAGTAAGGTATCATTACGAATGATATCAAAATTGCGTATTCAATAAATAGCATCCAACAAGAACTTTTGTTATTATAAAATAAAAATAAAATGTCTCACTAACCCAATGCGCGACCCTTACGCAATGCTTGGTAAATTAGCCTTCTAACTTGAATTTGATCCCTAGTGTTTCAGACCCCACCTATACTTTTATTAATGCTCTTACATAGGATGGATTTGTAAGTCCTCTCCGTGGAGGAACTACAAATGTCAACTCCCCAAGTATATTTGGAAGTTTGGCTAATGCTTTTACTTCATATTTCTTACTTTTGTTAGTGTACTGTAGCAAAATAAAAGTGCGAAACATATTTAGTAACGTATGCTGTTATTTAAATAGAACCGAAGCGCTTCCAAAATTAAGGCCAAAATCAGAAACATCAAAATGA